GATATCTCAAGCTTGAAACGTTTCGCCATTTTCATGTTTGTGTATTATGTTCAGTGAACTCTATGTATTACCTGAGAAAAGTTAGGCGTATATATAGAGGAACAATGAAGACGTGATTTCTCTTTCATTAAAAAAAGCCAACAACGATCCTACGTAGACTAAATAACTTTAAAAAGGCCGTCCATGTTATCGTCGTCACGGCATTGACACACCTTGTCATCGTGTCGTTAACGCCAGAGTGGCAAAATTGCATTGAAACATAAACGCCCGTGCTAAAATTGGCAAAATTGAAACGTAAGTGGCATTTTCGAGCCTGAGCTTAAAGATTAGTGGTATTTGACGTAGTTTACCCATTATTTTATACAAAACCCTCGTAGTTCGCTCCCCCTCCCAGAAATTAAACACGTCTACACGGCTAAGTAAAATTATTATAAATAAATTATTTTATACAACCTACATTAAGATTTGTATCATTTTCGACATGTAATATGATCACATGTATGGATATGACAAAAAAAACCATAATATAAAATATGATATAATAATAAAATATATAAATCTCAAATAGTGGCGGATCCGTAAATTTATAAATGGGGTCCAAAATTTTAATTTTCTTTTCTTAAAAATAATGGGGTGCAAAATTTTTTATTTTTTTTCATTTTTCTTTAACATATTATACTAAATTTCACTTTTTTTCTTAAATAATGGGGATACACTTGACTCCTAGGGGTATTAGTGTATCCGCCCCTGATCTCAAATATAATATATTAGGTATAATTCAATTATATAATATAATACTTTTCTAGTGTTATATAAATTCGAACCATCAACAGAGACATAATTATAATTCTAGTTTAAGAAGACAAAACATAATTAAGAATATAAATAAGTGACAGAATCAAAATAAAATAATATTTGAATGTTTAAATAAATATTTATTCTTATATATTTTTTTAATAATAAAAAATGAACCCCTAATTTTATATATAGCTTTGTATCTGATCATCAAATTAATATAATTCGATGATTAAGGTTAAAAATTGAAAATGAAAAAAAATTACACCACATTATAAATAATCTCACTATTACTTAACCTTCATTCAATTATTTTATTATAAAATATAAATTTCTTTTAATTTTACGGTGTAAATAAATTCTACTCTAATGTTCGCTCTCCTCCACGTGAACGTTGTCCTGTGTTTTCTTTCATAAGTCTGATAATTTATTATATTTATATAATAACTATAGTGTTTATTTATATACATGATCAATTAGGGACATTTATGGTTTAGTTCTATTCAAATTTTTAATCTTTTTATAACTCATTATTTTCTAGTCGGATTATTTTCTTTACTGTTTTCATATTAACTTCGAGTGCTTAGATTTATTTTACTGTTGATAAAATAGTTTTATTTTATAGATTATAAATATTATGTGATAGAGTTTTAGAGTCTTGTTTCATGAATATTTCTTTAAAAAAATCAAATAAATAACAAATAATTAATATTTTTACACAGTATTTATTGTGTTATTTCACTCATTTTTTAACATATAATACTTATTTTTATATTATAAAATAATTAAAATTAATTATAAATTAAATAAAAATCAAATCTGGTTCAATTTAAATCATAATAGTTTTTTAAATTTATAGATCATAAACCGTCCAAATATTATTGACTCTACCCAATTTCCAAATTAATCGATTTTTGTTACTCTCAGTGCTTACTCCCTATTAATTAATCAAGTTCTTAAGAAACAAATACGGCTAAAGTTTAATTGCACAAAAGTAGTTGAAGAATATAATTAGATGTTTTAATTACACTTAATTTAATGGATCAACCAATGACAATGATTATAATTAAAAAAGAATATTACACTGAAAAATATTTACGGGTGATTTCTTAAAAACACCAAACATATTAAATGACTATTAATTTTATATAATATCCATTTATATCGTTTACATCTGATTGCTTTGTAATCTATTTGAATGATTTTTAATGAGTTAGAATGATTTAGTTCTCTTAATAATTCGAATTTAAATAATAATATTTTTAAAAGATTAGATGAAGTTTGGATAATTTTAAAAAAATAAATAAAGCATACAAATGATTTGTCGACTACATGATATAATTTTATTGAGACTCTTTTTGACGTGAATTTTTCAACGCGTTTTTAGTTATAAAAGACTATTTTAACAGTAAAATCAATGTAAAAAGTGTAAAAATTAAATAAAAATGAGGTGGAAACGGTGATTTCAAACTAACCGGTAAAGTTAAGATTTGTAACTTTTTCATTTTTAACTTTACGTTTAAGAGCAAATTATAATTTTACCATTATTAATGCATGAGCTCCACTCAATTATCATTTTATTTTAATAATTAATATTAACATCTTTAAAAAATAATTTATTAATTAATAATTTATTTTAATTATTTAAAAGGAAATAAAATTCATTGTTTATATATTGGAATATTAATAGTGAGTTATTATAAAATATATTTTTATTATAATTAATGAGTTATCTTAAAATATATTTTTATTATAGTTTAAGTGATATATTTTATATATCATAGTATTAATAAGTGTAAATATAATTTAAATTCTATATTTTTAATTTACAACATAATATCTATAATGAACATTTTATCTTTTCAAACTCACTTTTTAACAACAATGTCAAACATTTAAATTTTAAATTGTACTTCTAAACAACACTTTTAAAAGTTCTTTTCTAATGCACTTTTAAAAGTCACTTTCCAAAAGCCCAGTTAAACTGGCACTAAGTCTTTCAACTATTAAAAATTAAAAAATTATTTTCCGACTATAGGATGTTACTTTGTTGAGTCATTCGACTATTAAAAGTTATAAAATGATCGCCCGACTATTCATTATGTTACAAATTCGTCATTTTTCGTTTAAAATTGACGGCGGTTAGAGCTGGATGTTAATTTGTTGTGTGAGATATGATAGTTGTTTGAGATTTTAGATTAGATTTTATCATATCTTAGGCAACATATTAACATTTAGCCCATACCGTCGTTAAATTTTTAACGAAAAATAATAAATTTAGAATATAATGAATAGTTGGACAACAGTTTTGTAATTTTTAATATGACTCAACAAAACTACCTCATATAGTCGGGGGAGCATTTTGTAATTTTCAACAGTCAGATGACTCAACAAAACAACATCCTATGGTCGGGTGTACTTTACCCTAAAAAATTATGATTTCTTTGTTTGGGATTGGAAAAGAAATTGTGGAAGAAAAATGGTTTCCCAAATTATAGCCCATTGCACATTCTATTAATTTAACCCGGACCAAGTTTATCACTTCATTTCAGAAAAGACCCACCCAAGTTTTAGAATCTGATGTAAATAACTGGTTTCATAGATTTATAAAGTTTAGATCAACTTATGAGCTTAACTCACTATAATTTGGCCCGTCTACTATTATTAATATTACGTGTTAATCCAAAATCATTAAGAAGGTAAAAAAAAGAAATTCTATTAGTAGGTTGATGTGTATATTGTCTTTTGAACATAACGAAAAATATTCTTGTTAGTAATGTTTAAGAAAGAGTACAAGTATGTAATCCTACATTGAGAAGAAAAATGTTTTAGATGGGTTTATAAGAGGCACTTCATTGAACAACAATTATAGATTTGAAAATGTTTGAATTTACGACTTGTAAAATAATACAATATACAGAACTGAGCGACCAATGATTAAAAAGTATGAAAATGTGCAAAATGTCAGCATAAACAATAGTAATCCGTAAATTCTAAATCTTTAAACATGAAGAATTTCAAAGTCCATGGAAACAGACAAAAAATGAAGAACAAAAATTGCAAACAAACAAATTTATACCTATCAATAATGCAATGTGTTGTCAAAAAAAAGGGCCTGGGGTCCGACTCTGCCTGCTTTTCTTTGTAGTATACAGAGATAATAATGTTACATTTCTGTAATATTTTTCCTTATTGTTATCACTACAAGACATATATTTTTATATAATTGCAAAAATGAAAATCTGCATCGAATATTTTTGTACTTAATATTATGATTGCGTCGTTGTTTTTCATTATAATAGTGTTGCTTTTTAGCCACTTTGAAACTATCATCAAAAGGGTACTCGTTACAGAGTGAGTGCACTTACTAATGTCTTTTTTCGCTTTAGGGTACGTTTGTTTCATTGAAAACAGTTTCCGGAAAATGTAATCTAAAAAATAAATTACATTTTTGGAAAATATTTTCCGGTGTTTAAATAGTACATTGTAAAATATTTTACACTGTTTGGTTAATTTTTCTGAAAACAGTTTTCAGAATCTATTTTTAATAAAAAAGCCTACATGTTCAATATGTTTTTATTATTTACCTTAGTTTTAAAGGTTCATTTTATTTTTTATATAATTATATTTTATAAAAAATATGTATTTTTATTAGTACATCAAACTAAACTTTTAGATAATATTAATAATTTATGCTGATTGTGTTATAAATACATTATTTTAGGTTTAAAATCTTCGTGATGTTTATTCATTCGTATTTTTAGAAATGAATTTTATGTATAATTAATATTATGTAGGTTTATTTGAATTAATATTAATAATTGATTAAAAATATATTATAAAAGTTTATACATATTATGTAGGTTTAATTAATAGTACACCACATTAAAACAACAATAGTACATAACATTGTAGTAATAATAATAGTGTCAAAATATATAATTAAAGGGTTTATCACATTAAAACAACAATAATAACCAATCGTAATATAAAGTGATATATGCATCAAATTAAATCCCTAAATCATAAGATATTATAGTGTGCTCAAACTCACAACAGAGTATATTTTTTAATAGAGAAAAACTTGGAGGTTAAATAATGAACATTTGCACTGCATTTGCAATAAAAGCAGCATATTTAGAATTCCTTCTCACTAAAATTACACGATTTATTTATATTTGAACTATTTTAACATGAATTACTATATATCTAAATCAATGGTGAAAAAACATTTGAACTATCTATTAGAATTCCTTTGGTCGCTTGATTCCTGCTCTTCAATTTTTTTGTTTAAGCAGCTCAACTTCTCGTGCTAGATCTTCATCTTTTTGTTTCATTGCCTAAACAGTAGGCAATGGAAAAACGATGAGTTATAATAAACCAAGCAATGGTGACAACAAGCATCATTGCACAAACGCACCACGAATAAAAAATTAATCACTTCAAAGTGCATCATCGCAAGATTGAACCCATCGGTGTTCAGTACTAAAAGCTAATCACCTTGAAAGTCAACAAGATTATGGAGAGATTTACTCGATCAAACAATAAAACAGATGAGTGAATGAGAGAGAAGGATCCATTAGCGTAGTAACATCTACCTCCAATTCTTGTTTGCGCTGCTCCTCTTTTCTTGCTTCAGATCTGGAGCTTCTTTGTACCTCAAAAATAACAGCAGCTCCTGCAACCTATAGAGAGACAAAGTTTAAGTACGGAAAGTTTTGGATCAATAAGCCATGCAAGAATTAGAGGTGGGAAAGTGTATCAGTAAAAGATGCTTCACCCTTAAGCTAAGTATGAGAGTAAAATTCATCAACCAAAAACAGTGAAGTGATTCTCCGTGTCCCAGTGTTTCTATTCACCCTAAAAGCTATTAGCATCTTTCCAAGCTGTCTAATGTGAAAGGCAATTTTCTTAGAAGTTTGCTTGTGGTGGGAACTCACTGTTAACAATAAGAGGATTCAATGTGAGAGCATCCTCTCGTTCATATGCCCTTTTCGACTATACTCGATCTTATGGCCATAGTAGGGCTTGTGGATCATTAAGAGTAAAGAGAGTATTGTTTCCTACTAGAGCTGGATGATCATAGAACCTAAAAGTCATCGGTATGTGTTTATGTGTTCCTAGGTCAATTTGAAGCAAATAAATGCTTTAGTTTCGACACAACACCATGAAATACTTGGGAATAAATTTTCATCTTCGATCTTCATAAAGCCATGGCAACTAGACTAATGAAGCTGAATATTCAGACCATTCATCAATAGGGTTCATGTACCAAACCAACCAGCCTTTTCAATTTGTCCATTCATTTGCTACATCAGAACTTTAGGCAAACAGAACCTAAATCAGTGAAAAATAAAGAACAACAGCCTTTTTAAAAAAAATAGTAAAGATGCTCTGTTTTTTTAGCACTCGTTTTTTCAGTGAAAGAAATGACCCCAAACTCTAGATGGGAGGAGTTGTAATTACAGACCCTAGTGGTAAGTTTGAACAAGATGCCAGAATAGTAAAATTAAACAGTGAAAGTACCGTGAACACGAAGAGTTCCCCCAGAAGATCAGCAGCAGCCTTGACAGCTTTCTCCTCATCCAAAGAGGAGTAATTGATTACCATCCAACGGAACACTGCAACTAATGTATCTTGCTCCTACATCCCATTATCACATGAGGTTTGGATTTGGCCAGTGAAGTTAACCAAGAAGTGTATCGCAATCACAAATTTTATTACTAAACAAAAGACTCCAACAAGAGTGATCCACCTACTTGCAAATATCAAGATAATTTGCACAAATCAGAACCCAGCACATCAAGCAGTCAACAAATACTACTACGTAACTTTCATCGGCTAGCAAGATTTGTAAAACTTAAAACATCCACTAAATCTATTAATCTCCTTAGATATGTGCAATATCAGTCGAATTCATTAGAAATGATTAAATTTATTTGTGCAAGATTATACCCTTTGATGTTAGCACAATTCCAACACAAAAAATCATATCATATTATCATGGTTTTTACAGGAAACCTTAAAAAAAGTGTTGATTCATCTGTGAGCTACAGTTTTCACAGGAAATAAAGTTAAAAGGGAAATTTATCATACTATATTTCATTAACAGTTGAACAATACAGAAAAATAAGCATCATAAAACTTGATTAGAGCTGAAATAATAGACATTAATCTAATTCAAATACCGGATTAAGAATTAATCGATTTTTTTCCAGTTAATCAAACTTCCAACAATTCATTCCTATTCAAAACCACATAAAAATTATTTTTAAAAAAGAATACGTGAAGGACTCTCACATGTGTTTTATTACCGTTTAAAAAATCGAAGAGAAATCAATCAAATTTTAGGAAAAACATATCCGATTGGTAAAACGAACGCTTCGGTTGAACCTATTATGAGCAATCTGCAAACTGCAATGACAACAAAAAACGAAACACGGGGAGAATTTTAGCTCGCTCAATCCAGAGGAAAGAATGCGAACACGAAATCAACAGGGGGAGAACCCAGACATGATAAATTGATAATAATCAAAAAGGGAAAGAGATATAGAAAAGAGAGAGAACATGGCAATATTGATGATGAATTGGCGGATTCTGGGATGTAAACTAGCCTCTTTCTTGAGACGACTAGCAATGGGTTTGCAAGCGTTTTTAAAGCGAGAGTCCCGAGCTTTACTACAGGTAGTATCATCTCCGGTGAGAAGATGACCGTCCGCCTCGCCGGTGAGAAGGAGCCACTGGATCGCGAGAATTTTCGGTGTGGAGAGTGGAAAGGGTAAATGAAGGACCATTCTTCAAACGGTTAGTCATTTTACGGTAAAACTAAATCTATTGACTTTTTTATTTTAGGGAAATCAAATATGGAAAAATGAAGAAAATATTTTTTTGTAAAATATTATTCTCCAATCAAACCAACCCTTAGTTTATATATAAATTACTTTTAGGTGCACTTTTATTGATTTTTTTCACAAACAAGTTTAATGTGAAGTTGGAGTTGGAGTTATTTAATTTTAAATATATATTAAATTATTAAAAGATAAAAAACATTCTTGTAATAATTTTTCATTTCTAATATTTTGTCCCTCTAAATTAGTCTAGTGATACAGTTAAATATTATTATGCAGTTTTACCTAATAAACCCATATTTAGGCTGTAAAAGCTTAACGTCACTGATATAATAGTTGGGCTAAAAGTTTCCGAAATCCGAACGCTATTCTCCAAGTGGGCTATGAGTTATCATACAAGCCCAAATTGTAGATCAAACTTATCCATAGCAACTTGGATGAGTAAACGTTACAAAATTTCATTATAATTCTTTAGATGATTAGAAGATGGTATTTATTAAAAAAAATTAATTGTTAGTAATGGAAACACACTTCACAAACATAATAGCTCGAATTCAAAATTTTTAAGAAAAATAATATTCTTTTCTATCATTGAAATTGTCAAATAGATTTAATTTCATTAAATATTTTTATTTTCAATTTAGAGTAAGAAAATAATTATTATTTTTAAATTTATGTGGTAAGATAGTGCTCTGTTCAGTGTTTGAGTTTTTTAAATTATTACTACATTCGTCCCACGAAATATTGTCTTTTATTGAATTTTTTTAAAAGACAAAATTATTAAATTTTGACCATGATTATTTTAAATATTTTAAAAAATTAAATTTTATTAAATATATATTTCAAAACTATATTATTAAAATATTTAAAATATTTTTTTATATTTTTATCGAAATTAAATTTTAAATAATAAGAAGGAAAGTTGAAAAAAATAATTAAAAATCAATAAAAAAAACAATTCAAGTGAGAGGGAGTATAATGGAAAACAACACGATACTTTTGCTGCTGTATCAATAACATGATCCACACCATATATTATTTTTTAAAAGATCCACATTATATATTCTTAAAATCATAATAATATGTATGATAATGCGAATTGTTAAATTTACCAAAGAAAAATAATGCGAATTGTTAAATTTATCTATTAATTTTGAATTAAATTTATAATGTACTGATAAATAACATCACTTCAATCTTAATTAACATTAAATTTCGGTTTAATCTTAAACAACCCTTAATCCTTCTTTCTTATCTAAAAGAAAAAGATCTATGTGACCACATGGCCGGTTTAAAGGTCGGTCCAATCTTGGATTTTCCTCCAACTAGATAGTTATTGATTATTAATGCATAAGACAAACAAGTTTGCATTTTGTTTTCATCACAAACTTGAACTTCCTAATCAGAAAATGTTACGATAGACATTCATGAATCATGACAAGCTCTAAACAGCATTTTAATTATAAAGTATTTTTTTGTTAATATAAGATAATTATAAAGTAACATTTGTTTAAATATTCTCTTTCATTTGAAAATAAAATCTACAAACTGTATTTTTAAATAGACAATTTAACCATAAAATTTAATTAAACATTTAATGAAATAAATAGTTTATATATTTCCGTGATCATCTAGCAATATCAATATAAAAAAAAACAAAGAGAGAGAGGACTGCATCCACCTACAACCATTACCCCTTCTAAAACATTTTCGAAATAAATTTAAATGGGTTTTATGAATAATAAATAGAATTATATGAATGAAAGATATTAAAAGAAATTTATTAATTGATTAAACGATAAAAATGTTTATATTATCTCATCTTATATTAATTCGAGTTTGATATTTATCTTGACAATATAAACAGCTTTTTACTTGGCTAAAAAAAAAAGATACTAGAAGAAAATGTTAAGGTAAGAGTTGGAATCGTTTGAGTTGTTAGAGTCATGGAAATGATGAGGAGGCGAATGAGAGTACCTCCCTTCGTAGCTTGTAATCACCATTCTCGGATCCTCTGCTAATCTCTCCACTCGTTTCTTTACTCGACAATTATCTTGCATACATCGATAGTAGCTCCTGCGTTCAGTTCAATTCAATTTTTCATCATAGAAAGAGCTTGAAATGGAGAATATAAAATATAAAACTAAGAATTCTTGTTGTAAGAATATGAAGGCTTGAATGTGAACTAAATAATGATGAAGTTAATTGAAGTATGACAATAGTTGGTTAAGGTTATTACCAATTTGAAAAAGTAGGTTTCCTCTTTCACAGAGGTCAGGACTTAGGGGCCCTACTTTCTCCATCCTAATTATTTCGTTTGGAAAAAATCACTCTCTCATAAATATCATACTATTCATTATTCAACCCACACTTTGTTTCATTAATTCGTTTGAATAACTAGCAAATTTACTACCTAAATGGTCACTTCAAAGCCCATAATTTTTTTATAAAAAAATAAATGATACTCAACCCTAAAATTATACATATGTGTAGGTGCATAATGATGTAATCTGTATTCAGAGTTAAAATCATTGCCTTGCATTTTCTACTTTGAAAGCCAAATCTAGCTAGGTGATTTTCTACATAGTGACAAATCAAAACGTGAAATCCCTAGCTAACGTCCACAATATATATATATATATATATATATATAAACCACTCAAGAACAAAACTCCTACTGCCTTTACTTTACAGTGCATATAAATCTATGCATACTATTAGTTAGCTAGGCAGGTCCTTAGCATGATATGATCACTGCGCACTATATGGAAATCTATTCACTCTATCAATAACCTGATATATCACAAAGAATGTCTTTTTCTATTGATTCGTTCGGATTAGTTCTTGAATGAATATCTAACTCAAGGATGAAAAAAAATCTATATGCATGGGTTCTACCTCCTATTTTTATGAAAACATGTAAACTTTTTATCGAAAGATCAGAAAAAAAAAATGGGTCCAACCTCTTGTGGGAATAATTTGGAAGATTCATACCGATCAAGTAATTTCAGTGGTTAAAGGGTTAGTTATTATTCTTAGAAGTCCGAGGTTCAAGCACGCCACCCACAAGAGTCTTTGAACATTTATTGTCAAATAATTAAAAAAAATTTAAACAAATATTACCATATAATCACCTCATTCTAATAAAATATAATTCTAAAGATTGAAAACCAGAAATAATAGTATTTGCTAACAGCAACATAATCGAGGCAGTCAATTAAGAGAGTGATTCAAAATCTGTATAGTATAACACCTATGAAATAACTGACATTTATAGAATTTAAAAGAGTAGTCGAAAGAAATGATTTGATATTATTTTAATTTCTCAGATCCAAAGATATGTGTATATGAATCGTAATATATATATATAAACGATCCAATGGGAATAAGAATTTTTCAAGAATATTTAGAACATTCCGTTTTTCAGCGAAAGAAATGTTTTCAAATAATGTCCAATCGATTACGTATTAGATAATATTCCATGATTGATCTAAGGTTATGGACAAAAAAATGTGTAAGTAACTAATGTATAATATTTGAAACGTTTTTCTAGTTGTTTCACCAATATTTTAGATAAATCTTTTAAAGAATTAAAAGATAAAGTATTCTATAATATATGATTAATTGAAATTCTTATTCTGCATATTACAATAAGAAATTATCATCCATTCAATCGAATCGGGATGCACTAAACCTGACATTGTGTGCCTTGAAAAGAGTAACATGAAGCTCAAAACTATGGGCGTTTTCAGTACTCCCCAATAGAAAAAAGAAAAGAAAAGAAAAAAGAGAGGCATTTGATCTATGATCGAGTGGTCATTGTTCAATGATGAAGCAGTAGACTCACTGTTAACTTTCACTATTGCAATATAGAATATAGATCTTCTTAATTGATTATAAGATTTTCCTACATATTATGTTTAACTTTTGTTACCGTTATGATGGTAGCTACTTAATTTTCAAATGATTTATGCATGGAACAGTGAACATC